GTTTTGTTTTAATTGTCCTGACATTTTCTGAAATAATGTGCTGTGTAGTATCAGGCTTCTTTTAGCACTTTCCAAAGTTCTTCTTTAGGTTTAGAGTGTCATATATTTCTTTTTTCCGGCCAGATGATCTCATACAACCTCTATAATATACAGGTCTGGACCCTGTGGAGGCCATTTCATGACTGACTGTGTTTCGTTAGCTGTGTTTTCTTTCTTCAAATGGGATTTCACTGCAATTAGCCGATCATTATCATGCTGAAAATGAAAACTCTTACCACTGAAGTCCTTTCCAGAAGGAATGGCATAATAAATTAAAACCCATCTGTACTTTTCAACATTCAAAATTCCATAAATTTTGTAAAAATACAGCTCAAACCAAGACAAACAACCTCTATCCAACATTGTCTTTCATAGGTCTTAAACAATTAAATAAACATAATTCAAACTCTGACCTTACTCCCATCTTAACCATGCCTCAGCTGAAAGATAATCTATTTATCCTGTATAAATCTCAAAAAGAAAAACAGAAAAAATTACACTATTGACTGGTTTTGTGGTAAAGGAACACATATATCCATTATACCATCAGTAAAACCACAGATTTAATGTTGTCCTAAAACTTTTGTACAGTACTGTATGTCTTTATTATTATGTTCATAGCCATGTCATTTGGTGTGAACATGCATTTTCAATATTCTCTCCATCAAAACCCCCACTGTCCCTTCTGAAGACTCACAGAGCAGCTGTTTGTCCTCCTCAGATCCGTTTATTGTGCTCGTGAGAGGAACGCTTTCTTGATCTGACCCGCAGGAGGAGGAAATAGCATGTCAGCATCACAGTTACGCAAACATCGAGAGTTCAGACAGGTTTAATTGGTCAAATATGTGAGCTGGCCGAATGGCATGATTCCTGAGAGGCAGCAGACATTCCTCAAGTCACATCAACCCTTCACAAAGGCTTATTTACATTTAATAAAGCAGGTATGGCCCACCACAGAGCCGATGGGGGTCACTGCTCACTCTCATTCCGCTTATTTTACCAGTTCACTGCACACAGTTAGGGTGATTTGTTTAGCAGTTTTGTTAGAATTAGTTTCATATTTTGCACATGGATGTCTGTCTGCCTGATAGAATAAATAATTTATATTATATTATATTATATTATATTATATTATATTATATTATATTATATTATATTATATTATATTATATTATATTATATTATATTATATTATTTTTTATTAATTCATTCATTTTCTGTTCAGCTTAGTCCCTTTATTATTCTGAGGTCACCACAGATTACCTATCCAGCATAGGTTTTGTACAGTGGATGCCCTTCCAGCTGCAATCCATCTCTGGGAAACATCCATAAAGACACATACACTACGGACAATTTAGCCTACCCAATTCACCTGTACCGCATGTCTTTGGACTGTGGGGGAAACCGGAGCACCCGGAGGAAACCCACGCAAATGCAGGGAGAACATGCAAACTCCACACAGAAACGCCAACTGAACCAGCCGAGGCTCAAACCAGTGACCTTCTTGCTGTGAGGTGACAGCACTACCTACTGCGCCACTGCATCACCCATTATTATTATTATTATTATTATTATTATTATTATTATTAATAATAACAACAACAATGATGATGATGATGATGATGATAATTATAATCATCATCATCATTAAAGTTAAAAACATAATATAACTTAATAGCTCATAAATTAATATATGCTTTATCTATTTTTGTGAATGCTATTTCAAATTTATTGATTAATTAATATGTATTATTTGATCACCAAATCATCATATCATAATGTTCCTTAAAGGATCAAGTGACTCTGAAGACTAAAAATCCAGCTTTGAATCACATCACATGAAAAAATTACACTTTTAGATTTATTTAGATCCATATCCATCACAGAAGAGAATAATGTAACATTACATTATAATAATAATAATAATATATATATATATATATATATATATATATATATATATATATATATATATATATATATATATATATATATATA